GTATAAGCCGATATGGAACTACCTATTCTATTGAGAAAACTCGTTTTTTTCCCTATTTTCTTTAGCATATAATCACAGTGGTCGTTGAATCAAAGTCTATCGTCAATAATTATATCTAGATACTTCATCGTTTCCACACGCTCTATCTCAGTTCCATCCAAGCATTTCAACGTAATATTACCTCTTAGCTCTTTTCTTATACTTCTAACTATCATATATTTCATTTTCCCTGCATTTATTTTTAATTTATTTATATTCATCCACTTTTCTACTATAACAAACACCGTATTCATTTTTCTTTCTAATTCTGCGCTACTTTCTCCCTCCACATATATTAAAGTATCATCCGCAAACATATTTATCTTATATTCTTCTGGACAGACTTTGTATTATATCGTTTATATAAAGTAATAAATAACAAAGGTCCCAATACAGATCCTTGTGGAACTCCATATTCCGTTGCCATTAATTTTGACCTATTTATTATTAAATCGCACCTGCTGTGTTCTATTCTTTAGATATGAGTTTAACCATTCAAGGACCTTTCCTCTGATTCCATATCGATATAATTTCCCTAATAATCTTTCCCTATCTATCGTTTCAAATGCTCGCTTCAGATCCATGAAAATTACCCCCACCATTCTCCTTTCACTGACTATCAGTTTCCATTCGTCCACAATAGTTTGAATCGCTGTTTCACATGAATAGTGTTTTCTAAAGCCCGATTGATGTTCAATTATAATACTATTATTTTCCAAATACCTTTCAATTTGCTCTTTTACTACCAATTCTAACACTTTCTCAAATATAAGTAACACATTAATAGGCCTAAATTCACTCGCCTTCTTGGCTTTATCTACTTTTGGAATCGATATTATTGTAGACGTTTTCCAACTTTCTGGACAGCAACCATCTCTCAGGGAGTTATTTATTATATCAACAAATTCCTCTTTTATTACGCAAAACGTTGCTTTTAATATATCACTAGTTATTCCCTCTTCCGTGCCTTTCTTATTTGGCAGTCCTTTAATAATTTTCTCTAGATGCTCTACCGTGATTCCCTCAAAATTTTCCATAGTTTCCATATTTTCTATAGCATAGATAATTCTTTTACCTGCGCCTGTAGACTGATCCTCTATTATAGATTTTATTATACTATTAATACTCTGTATATAATATAAGTTAAATTTATCCGCTATATTGCACCCTATTGTACTATAATCTATGTTATCTAATATTTCAAAATCTATATCTTTTATTTCTTTTGCACATACTGGCTCGTCTCTAATAATTTCTTTTAAAGTTTTCCACAGTCGCAGGATTTTCCTTATTAAAATCTATCATATTTTCATAATGTTCTTTCTTTTTCGTCCTGATTAGTTTTACTACTGCATTCCTATTAACTTTAAATTGCAACCAGCTTTGTTCTGTATCGGCGTATGTACTGCTTGCCTAAATGCCTCATCCCTTTTATCCGCAGCCTCTCTTATTACATCTGAGAACCATTTTTTCCCTTCCCATACTTTCGGAATTCTAAATTTCCTCTTCGGTGCTATTACATCTAACGCATTTACTATACTATTGACAAATTTTTCTGCTCTCTCACTCACACCCATACATACACACTGTCATCCCTGGCTTTCCTGTAATTTATTTTTTATTAACATAACAAATTCACCTTCATCAAACTCTTTGTAATTCCTAGCGCTAAATTCTCTATATTTATTTTCAATTTTATTCACACTCAACTCAACTTCCAGCCACGCGTGGTCCGTAATTTTGGGTTCATGAATTACTTGCACTCTTTTATTACTATTAGCGAAGATTAGATCTATAATTGTTTGAATATCTTTCGTGATTCTCGTCGGTTCGTTAACATACTGTTTCATACCCAAGCTTAACATTGCCGTTTGCACTTTCTTCGCATAAAACGAGTCCGTCATAAGATCTATATTAAAATCTCCTATTACCATGCATTCACCCTTTATTATTAACTCCTCTACTATATCCTCGAAAAATCTCATGAAATCCCCGTGCGATGCGCTTGGTAAGTGATATATTACCATTATCACTCCTTTATATAATTTATCTTTCACTTCTACCGCGACACACCAACAATTCGATTCTAATTTTTGTACTGACACCGTCTCGTAAATAATATCATTCCTTACATATAGAACAACGCCTCCTGTATTTCTATTCTCAGCATTACATCTAGTCATATTATAACCAGAAACGTTCACTTCACTGTCTTCAATATCCTCAGTCAATCTGGTCTCCGATAATGCTAAGAACGCAGGATTTATTTTCTTCATAATCTGATGTTGAATCTCATCCTTATGCGCTATCAAACTCTGCGCATTTATATACAGTATAATTTCTTCTTTCTTCTGTAGTTGCTACTTCTCCTCCCAGCCTGCTCTCCTCTTCTCTTCCTGTAACGCCCTCTTAAAAGTCGGACATTCGGCTGATAGCTTCATGGTCATCATTTATCTTCAAATTGTATGTTCGATTTTTGAACATACAGTTCACACATTTCTTCTCTGTCGCTGTACAGACACGCGAGCTATGATTTTGCTGCATGATTGCCCGCGCATTTGCAGCATGTTTCTTCTCTCTTACAATTTTCCGCAATATGAAAATATCCCCAGCACTTAAAACATCTTTTGACACTGATGTGATTAAATGCAGGACACTTCTTCCATCCTACATTTAGTTTTGTTTTCTGCAATATCATCTCGTGTGTCTCTTCATCTACTTCCATTATTATTGATCCTTCTTCATTTCCTCTTCTTTGATCATTATTCTTTACTTTGACCATTCTCTTCATAATTCGCATATTTACTGTGTCTATTTTATTCTGCTTCTTTATCGTATTTATAAGCTCATTATCATCTAAGTTCATCTCTTCTAAATTTATATTAATAATTTTTATTTTGGTTTCGATTTAGACTCCGTCACTTTGTAATTCTCTCCCAGTTTAGCTTGAACTGTCTCTTTCAACTTTTTACCTCCTCTCCAGTTTTACATCCCATGATTACTACTCCTTTGCTTTCCTTTTTTTAATTTTGTTACTCCCATTGCCATATTCTTTATATCTACCTTCTCTTTTATCACTTTTTTCGTGTCTTCACTTTCCTGTTGCACTTTCGGTTTAACAATTATAAGACTCTCTTTCTTCTTTTCTTTAACCGCTTCACTGTAGCTTCTTTGCGTTCCTCCCTTCGATCCATACTCTATTCCCTGTATTATTTTCTTCAAGTTCTCCATCTCTTGTTTAACACTTCCTAATTCTTCTTGAACTACTTCTTTAATCATTATTTTAATTTCATTTTTACGCATCGCTTCATCTTTTATTTCTTTCACGGTTCTTATAATCCAGTCTATTTTTATATCAATACTTGACCCTTTATTTCCACTGCTCGATGTTGTGAACACTCCTGTAGATCCTGTAGATCCTGTAGATGATGTCCTATTTCTCCCTGCCGGTGCCGGAGCTTTCTCACTATCAGTTAAAAATTCCTCAAATGGGCCTTTACACGGCACGTACTCTTGATTTCTGTCGATAATTTTATGCTTACTTACACATCCTGGATGGTAAAAAAGCTTTGGGCAATTTTTACATTTAACGACTCTGCTCTTAATTGCCTTCCTACATGCCGAGCATCGATACTCTGCATATTCGTCGTCCATGCTGATAATTACCGGCCAAAACCGCTAGTATCAGCATAAGCGATCAGTCACCTGTGACCCACTTTCACACGTCAGCACTATTGTGTCCACGTATAATGTCTACTGTCTTGTGAGACTTCAATGTCTCAAATAATAAATTCACTGCTCACATCCACAGATCGCCGTATCCCGGCTAGATAACTTTCATATCCATCCTCGATCTACGGCGACATAACTCGAAATACTTATTTTACGTCTTTTCCCACTATTTACGCACGAAAATTCACTATTTTGACGGAGCGATGTGACACACGTCTTCACATCGAGAGAGAGAGAGAGAGAGAGAGAGAGAGAGAGAGAGAGAGAGAGAGAGAGAGAGAG